TCTGACTGCACCAACTATCACCCTGTAGGTGTTGGGAATACTGATTAAATTATGGGACATAAGTAATGACCCCAAATAAAGAGTTTTGTCTCTCAGTGTGGTATCCAACAGTTGGCAAGCAATGATTTATAAACAGGGAAATCACACCAGTAGGAAGGGTCACCTTTGAGGCCTCATGATCAGATTAACATTCTGCTTTTCTTTTAGTCCAAATACAGCCATCTGCAGTTATTCTTTTATTCTTTCATTATTTCATAATTTGTCTGCCCTTTAGCAATATAAAGCAGTATCTTGATGTAGTGCAAGATTTTGAAATATGAAAGCTGGAGAAGGGTGAGCAAAGTTTAAGGGCTCTGGCCAGTATGGTGTAGTGGTTGAGCATTGGATTAAGACTCCAGAGACCAGGGTTCAAATCCAAGCTCGGCCACGAAATCCACTTGGTGACCTTGGGCAAGTCACACTGTCTAGGCTCTGATGGCAATGGCAAACTTGCTCTGAAGTAACTTGCCAAGGAAATTCCAAGATAGGGTCGCCTTAGGGTTGCCACAAGTCAGAAATGACTTGAAAGCATATAACAATCCTTCCAACACCCACACCCACCTACCTACCCACCCACAAGATCCCACAATAGGATTTCCTTTAGTGGAGGAGATTTTTGATCCCTAGAAGGGATCTTTTTCCTCCTGTCTTGGAGCTCTCTTGCTAAACATGCAACTCAGGCCACTTCCACCTATATGAGTCCATTCAAGGCTCAAGGACTTTGTGAGGCCTTTCTCTCTGATCTTTTTCATACCCAAGTATTTTGGTGGGAACAAGGAAAAGGCCTTTTCTCTGTGGCTGCTCCCAAACTTTGGAACTCCGTCCCTGAGTTTTTCTCTACAACAAGAAGTGAAAAAAATTATATTCCTCCAGGCTTTTAGGAACTGACTGAAATAGATTTTAATGATGTATTGTTTTGCTTATTTTTCTAGGCTTTTATTGGATTTTAAATGGTTTAAATCTATGGATTGTGATTTATCACACCAGTTTCTCACACACACACACATAGGACCTTATCACACGGGGTCAAAAGCAGTCACAATCC